TTCATTTTCATATACTGTTTCATTAAATATATATATATATTCTGGGAAGCCGGGTCTGGGAAAGGATCGACGAGATACAATAATTGTTTATTTTTACATATTTCTCCATCTGGTGATCTAGAGAATACAGATTATATTATTTGGTTTCCGACAATCAGATTTAGCAGAATTTATGGAATAAGATTTGTCGTATGTCGTATGTTTTATACGTTTTATATGTATGTTATTATTCGGAAATTACTCAAATTTTTTAATCCCTATATCTTTGCAACCTGATGCCTTAAACCTTCGATATTTCATACTAAGACTATTTGATCTAACATAAATCAAAGTTTAAAATATGAAAGATCTAAAACATGAAGTTGCAAATTTAGAGATTTAAAAATCTGAGTTTGTGGAAAGAAATCAGTTTCTTTTCAAATTAGAAATTTTCTTAACCCAAAATATTTAAACACACCCATAGTAGTGAAAAATGTAATAAATAGAATGAAGATTTAATTAAAAAGAATGAATATTTCTAATGAATAAAGTTTAAGTTTAAAACTTGATTGGTCCAAGCTGTTTCTCTTAAAGTTTGGTAAAAAATACTCATTTAAAAGTTTTGTTCTCCTGTGTAAAACCTTAGTTCTGGAGTAAACTAAGTTTAATGTTAAATAAAGGTTTAATATTCTCCACTATAGCTGGAAACTATATAGTTTATACTATACACTGTACAGGGTGTCTAGGTAAGCATATGATCATTGTGATCAAAGGAATCATTTTAAACTATCATTAATAAGTCATGATTAAAAGCGCTTCGCGCCCCGTTTTTACGAATCTTGACTTAAACCCCTGATGAACAAAAACCCCTTGGCCAATGGATGCGGTTGGCGTTTAAGAACTACAGACAGACATTTACCAGAACAGGCAAAATACAGATGAGAAGATAGGTTTAAACTTTACTAGGGCACACTGTACAGCACAGATTATACGAATTCTTGTCATTGTCTTCGATAGTAAATGTTTTATTTAGGTTCCAAATCATCTTATTGTTTTTCCAGACCTGAGTAGTGGAG